CGGAATTGTTCATTCGGTGCAATACTTCGGTAAACTTTCTTAGTGTTTTTTCACGCTCAATCATATTTGATCTGATACCTTTCTCTAAATTATCATATTCAGTTGATAAATCATCGACATATTCAGTCACCACTTGACCCATTTCAGTTACTGCTAATAGCATTTGTGATTGATTTCTACAATCGGCTTCTAAACAATCTAAAACTGAATTATAATATATTGAGTCCTTGTATAAAATTCTTAATATATGAACATAGGTTTCTCGGACACTTGTGGCTGCTATTCTTCGCATAACTGTCACTTGTCTTGCTTGGCATGTTTCTTGCATAAGTTTTTCACCTGTAGTTTTGATACCAAATTTTTTCAATATCAGTAAGTCTTCAAGTTCACTTGTTTTCAACACAAGTTGTTTGTACCTATCCATAAGCTTGCGTTTCTTATATAAAAGTCTGTCTTTAGTTTTTCGTTTCTGGTCAATCAATTGAATCAAAACGTCAGTGAATGCTTCTGGTGAGTTTCTTCCATAGGCCAATTGTATTTGACGATGTCCACATAAAGTTGACCACAATTTATGTTGATTTCCAAGCAAAGCATTTCTCAAATCATCTTGTTTTTGTTTCGCTGTCTTACGTAGCTCGCCTAATAATCTGTCCTCACGTCGTTTTATAGTGTTTTTAAGATACTTTGTTACTTCACTATCTCGTTTCTGTAGATTTATAGCTTCTTTTAATTGCTTCACTTTTCTTATAGTTGTCCACCTTTCATCTTTCATGCCGTGTATATTTTGACCTTTTAAGTCTAATCCTACCATTTTGAAAATAATTAAAATCCTCTTTAGTTTAATTTAAAGTTATGGGAATTGTTATTTAAATATTGGAAAATATTTTATATAAAATCGTATTAAAATATTTTTGAAAACAAAATTATCTGTACATAATTGATTGTCATATTTTTGCAATCATTGTCACAAGTGCAACTAAAATAAAAGTTATTCAAAATTTATGAACATTATTTGTCATGTTGATATAGATAAGGAAATGCTAGGTGGAATAAACAAAATTAATAAATATGCGTTAATATATCTAAACGTACAGAAACAAAAAAATGGAAGCTCTGCGAAAGTAATTAAAATTATTTGTTTATAGGTCTTAATATTGGTAGAAATTTGATTAGTAAACCGATAGTGTTTAAATGTTTTATTATATGGAGTTAAATTATATAATATACTTTCTTATCATGTTTATTTTTTATGGTTATTTGCATAGGATTACACGACTTATGGAAGATTTCTTTATTTTACTTAATAGGAACTTAATAAGAGCAATACCAATAAAATCCAAAATTATATGATTTGTTCATTAAGGTATTAGGTACAAAATAATAGAAATAGGTAATTATATTAATAAGGAGAACAACATTTTCCGTGTAACATGTTTTCCTTTCTCTTCCTTGCCTCAATCATAAACAATTTTCTGAAATATGCTCCTGGCTTTTTCCGGGCTGCAACTTGAGCCGCAACTAGAGCTAATTCATCAACAGTATTGTCTTTAACAAATTGAGCGCTTGCTGCATGGACAGACGCATTATTAGGTAGCCTGAGATCTTCTATTATGAGCCCTTCTAATAAATCTATTTCCTTTTCTTTTTCGTCCCAATCAATGGTAGCAGACATTTTTCGACTAAAGAACACTTCAGCTGCCCTAGCCATTGAACCAATCGGTTTAAATTCTTTAAATAAGACAGCAAGTCTTTTGTTAACTTCATCCAATAAATCAATTGAATTTTCACCTTCAGGAATAGAGGTTATTGGAACACGGAATGGTTCTACCTTTAACGACCTCCTTTTTGCTCTGACCATTAATAGAGCAATATTTCTTCTGAATCTGGATCTGGCGGGAATAATATATTGGACGGCGGATCTCCTGGTGCTCGTATTACTTTTAGAATGTTTGATAAGTGATTTAAACCATTTCGGATTTTTAATAACATATCACCGTTGCTTTTTTCCTTTTCTCTTAAACTTCCTATCTTTTTTTGCTGATTTCTTGTTTCTCTTAATAAAGAACGTTTTCTTTCCAGGTATTCTATTTTCTCTTGATTATAAGTGTGAGACACCAGATTCAATATAGCTTCCAATTGTAGTCTAGCCAAGCGCATTTGTCTATATAGCTCGGTTGTATTTTGTGCCAAAGTTTCCAAACGTTGTCTTTGCTGTTTCTGCGTCAATAAAGATGGATAGATATATTCGTATCCCGAAGCTTTTGTAATTATTTGGATGCCAAGTAATACTTTGCTTACATTTTCTAGTTCATTTGACAATTGTTTATCGTGTTCAATCGATTCCAGTGCTTGTTCATTTAGAATCAATATATCACTATCAGATCTGACAATCTTCTTGAATGCTTTCGTCAAATTGTTTAATAAGTCCGTATACTCTCTAAGAGTCTTTTCGCGTTCGCGCATATTATATTTAATACCTTGTTCAAGATTGTTACATTCAACAGTTATGTCATCTAAATATTCAGTTACAATCTGGCCCATCTCCGTTACTTCTAATAGCATTTTCGATTGATCATAACTATCCGCTTCCAAACAATCTAGAACGGACTCATAATATATCGCGTCTTTTTTCAGAACTTTTAAGACTTTGATATAAGTTTCTTTAATACTCGTAGCCGCAATTCTTCGCATTTGATAATTTTGCTTTTCTAAACAAATAAAGGTCATTTTTTTCTCTAGAGGTGTTTTGATGCCAGATTTTTGCATCATAAGAAGAATATCTTGTTCGCCTTTTTTAAGCACCAAATTTTTATATTTTTCCATGAGCTTTTTTTTGTTGTAATTATATTTATCCTTTAGTTTTCTTTTGTAATCGATCATTTGATAAAGATTTTCAATAACATCTTCCGGTTTGTTTCGGCCTTGCGCCAATTGTATAGTACGATGCTCGCCTAAGGTGGACCACATACGATTCTGATTTCCCAGCAGCGCATTTCGCAGCTTATCCTGCTTAAGCTTTGCAAGCTTGCGCAGATCACCGAGAGCTTTTTCTTCGTGACGTTTATTTTTAATCTTCTCATAAACTGTTACTTCTTTATCTCGATTTTGCAACGATATCACATCTTTATATTGAGTGACTTTTTGAAACGTGGTCCATCTGTTATCTTTCATGCCATGCAGCTTCTGACCGTGTAAATTAAGGCCAATCATTTTGATATAAGCTTTGAAGTTTCTATTGTCAAACTAAAATTACCATCAGTTATAAAATTAAATATACGAGTACTAATTTTAAAATAACACGAAAATATATATCGAATTAATTTTAATATAGAATATATTTAATTTATTTTAAAATTTAAAAAATCAAAATATTTCTAAAGAATAAAATTTTATAAAAAAAAACAAATTACGATATGCAATTTTGTTATTTAGCAATGTGTTAATGATAATTGAAAATTTGAATTAAAAATACAATATTATTAAAATGCTTTTTGTGCCCTGTTACAAACATATCTAAATGATATATAATATAATTATAGAGAATTTATAAGATATAGAGTAATGATTAGATATGTAGTGATTTATGAAGATATTTAAAAATTGGTAGGTGATGTATTATTTATAGAAGGTGATATGACATTGTAGTAGTTTAGATGTACCAAAATTTTTATTTAAACAAAAGGCAACTATTTTATATATTATATTACATTTGCATAAAAATATGAGATTATATAAGTACCACACACTTACCTTCTATGTAACAAATCTTTTATTATCCCATGCATAAAAATTACTAATGTATTGAGAATGAAGGTCATGTTTATAAAAATAAAAAATCCCGTAACACATACATAGCTAGTGTAGCAAAGTATACAAGTACAAAATCTATGAAATAATGATCAAATAATTTTTAAGTAGTAAAGGGTTTTAATTGTACTTTTATTAATCACAATTAATTTGATATGTAGTACGGAATAGTCTTAAATATTATATTATTGAAGATAACAGAATCACAAGAAAAGTAGGAAATGTAAAAGAATTATACATATACTCAACTTTTTTTTATTTAAGTATATAATTTATTACATAATTTTGCAATCGTTTTTAAATTCGATTATAAAATGTTTGATAAACATAATAAAACTGCAAATACTGCTTTAAACAGTTTTTTATACTATATTATATTCTACATATATTCTATTATATTATGCGTATATTTATTATATTATTATCTTATTATTTCTAATGTTGATATTTTGTTATATTTATTATTATCTGTCACTTAACGGTTTTTACTCCACTCTATTGTTTTCATAGTATTATTTTTATTATTCAAAAATTTTATTTATTAATTTTATTATTATTATTATTATTTGCTTTTATTTTATATTAAATCATCATACTACGGATATCATTTTAATGTAAATACTATCCTTTATTTTGTCCTCTTTTTTATTTAAATTTATCTTATTGTTCTATTGTACTAGATGTTAAAATATTCAGCAGTTGTAACCACAGATAAACAAACACAAATGGTTGTAACAAATATTGCAATTAAAAAAAATAAAAATAAATTATATTAAATATAATTATAAATTTTATTAATGAAAATCTATGTACTGAAACTTTTTGATTGCACTTTATATATGTTTATAAGCGCTCTGCTCAAGAATATACGTAAAATAAAAGTGAAAATATATTACACTGTATGTTAGTAAATGCCAAAAAGCCAAACTTTTCATATAAATTTTGTTAATAAACTATGCATCAAAATTTGGCTTCAAATCTATGTAAATAATATATATTATTTGTAATCATTTTCTTTATAAAATGTATAAGTAATTTATTACCTGTTGTTTAAAGATAGTTGAGCGTCCCTGTTTACTGTTTTATTTTATATAAACAGCGCGGACAAGTTCCTTTGATCATTAGGTGAAGTTCTTCAAATATTACCATAATCGTTCTCAGTGTTCACTAATAAATTGCTGATAAAGTTAAAAATGAGCAATTTGAAACACGCAATTTCATTGTGTTTACTATTTATCATCGTAGGATTGGGATTAGCTCAGCCTCCACAACTTTTTACGCCTAGAGGTAAGATCATCAATATATTTTTTGAATTGTACGCGAATTTTAAGATCTAATCTAGAAGACAAGCTTTTAAATGATTTTGAACTCCAAAATTATTTTAAGTGTTTTTAGAGCTTTATCAATGATTTTAACTTATAGCATTTCTTCATTTGTACCCAATCGCAGTTCTTTGTAATAATTCCTGCAGAAATAAAATTTGGCATTTAGAATAATGAATGAAGGTCGATGGTCCAAATAAAATTAAGTTTAATTTTTGAATTAAGTTATTTTAGTGCGTGATTACACAAACATTAATCAGTGATCTAAAAAGTAATTTAATTAATTTGATAACATCTAATTTTATGGAATTAGTTTACATTGAAAAGTTATAAATGTTTTAATGGATAATTATCACAGTCATTAAATTAATATAGATTGTCCAGAAAACGAAACATATCTTTCGTGTGGACCAGCTTGTCAAACAGAATGTGCCACTCTGGGACAACCTTGTTACATTGCTTATTTTCGATGCCCTGATGGATGTTATTGCAATAAAGGCTTTGCTAGAAATGCTAATGGTGCATGTATTCCGATTGAACAATGTTAATAATTACTCTATTATTAATGATTAACATATGTAAATGTACCTAATTATTAAAAATGTAATACATATAAATCTTATACTTTTAAATTGCCATACTGACTTTCATCATTCCTAGTAAAAATGAATCTTCTCAAGTCTCTATATCAATTCTTAAATATATTTAGCCATTATTAACTTGTTGTTGCATCTTATTAGCTAACTGTTGGGTTTACATTGCCAATAAAACTAAAATCAATGTTATTGTAGCCCGAAATATGATTAAAATGCTGTAAATTTATGTATACTTACAATTAAGTGTTAATATATACTATATTTCAATTGGATATTAATAAAAAGTATTTTTTATGTTGAACGATTCCGGGTATTCTGATTTTTTAGTACACTATCGCATGTCTTCCTTATGAATATTACATTTTTTTTAATATTATTGGCCTCGCTTACTTGTAGCATTTACATCGTTTAATTTTTATATTCTACATTTTTTAAATCATTTTCTTACTTATCTTTCTATGTAATTTCAAAAGTCAAACTCAAGACATTATTTATTTATTTTAAATACTTCTTCTATTAATCCGTTTTATATTAATTTATTTCATCGTTCGAAATTTTTTTAATTCTTCTTTCTTCTGAATATTTCTATCTTCTTATTTCTTCTACTAATACTTTTGCGTCTTTTCTTCTAATTACAAATATTAATATCCAAGTAAATTTGATAATTTTCTTTAATATTTTGTGAACAATTTTCGCGACCTAAGATATACGAATAAAAGCTGTTAGAGAAAATTGTATTATTAATAATAAGAAATAATAACTATAAAATCATATGTATTTTATTTTTAATAATAATTTAGCTAGTTTTGCTATACTTAATTAATGTGTATCAATTAATTTGAAGAAATTCTGTTTTACATATTGTTGATTACTTGATTTCTTTGAATGGCGATAAGTCCAAAGTTGTGGCAGCAGGTTTTTCACTAACAGGAAGAGAAATTATTATAATTGATTACACATTTTTATGATAGTTTCAGTAAATTTGCCATTAAGTAATAAATAAACTTGAAATTGATTTCCAAAAAAAAACTTTTAAAAATTCAAAAAATATTTGGAACTTTTTTAGTCTCAAAGAGAAGTCGATCGACACGTTCCTATCTATTTTTTTTTTTTTGTTTTTATCAAGTAAGTTGGAAAAAATATTTGACCAACATTGATTAGAAAAATCACGAATCAAATACTCTCAATTTGCAATTGCAATTGTTACTCAAAATTCTAAATTAAAGCAACTGTTCTTGTGTATTACAAAATTTATATAACTTTTTTCATAGATAATATTTCAAGTGAAGATGTAGACACAAACACGTAAGAATTATAATGTTCAAGAATTTTCGAAAATAAAGTGTAGTTGCGATTTTTAAAAACTATTAAATAATAATTTTATGACAACTCTTTAATGTGTCTGATGCAATAACAAATTTGACTGAACTTGTTGGACTGACGTTTTTCATTTTGAAATAATTTTAAAAAATAATTACAATTATTCTAAACTAATTCCGTTTATACTATCAAAATTTAATTTATTAATTTGTTATTTGGTAATTTGCAACATTAACTGTACAAAAAGTAGTTCGTAATATTTGTACCTAGCAAAAAATAAATGGATACCATGCTAAGTTCATAGTATCTATTAATTCTTCATGTGTATATGTCAATGTAGTGTTTATTTGTGCATATTTATATTTATATCATGGCATTGAGATTTTCAATTATATTTAAAACGAATTGAGTTCATAACATGTGTATGTGTGTTATGTATATGTATCCTTCTTTTTGTTATTCATAATAATGATATTAAACCAAAAATATTGAAATATATTTGTGATATGTATACAGTGTATATAATTACAATGTAATATTGGTTTGTATTTGGTGTTTTTACTAATGTGTATATTTTTATATTTATATAATGTTTTGTATATTTTGTGTTACAGCATTGTATTGAAATTCATTGAATGACTTTGTTTCATTCTTGTGTGTGACTTTTGAGTGACTTTGTTTCATTTTAGTGCTCTGGTATTTTCAGTTTGTGTAATAATAAGCGCACCTAGGACAATTTCCGAGAGGTACGCAAACACAATTGTAATCACGTGCGTATCCATCGTTGCAGTAAAGACGGTTAACAGGGGCAAAAGTCTTGATGGGGCAGTTTTCTTTTAATCCTTCCAGGCCGCATTCCCGATCGCAATAAGTTCCATTAGCACGAAACTGGTTACCCCCTGGGTAGTTGTATCCTGAAGAGATAAAGATAGAAAAAATAATCATAATTTTTGTTGACCAGGTATTGCTATCTCTATATTTCACACCAGAAAAATTGTCAAGTCTTATAAACGAGAGAAATAGCTTGTGTTATACTGACTGGCAAATGCACTGTATGGTCCCTAACACGATGCAAAAAACGCATATTACAACTTAAATTCGAGATTTGGTCTCCGACATTCGGCCATAACGAACATGAGTTATCTTATGGCCGGTCAACAAAGTGCTATAAGTTTCCTATTGAAACTGGAACTGATATTTTCTATTATTTTTCCAAAGTTGTAATGTAAATATTTTACATAATTCGTGTCAAAAAACTATTTAGCAACAAATACATGTATTATGGCTATAGCGACTGGACCTGAATCAGAGGTCCCGCTTCGAGTCTGATATCAAGCAGTAGTGACATCGGTTTTCACTTGGAAATATAGTCATCAATATGTTTCTAAGTAAAACTACCTTTCATTCGACATTCCTGCATCAATGAAAAATTTGCTCTATTAGAGAAATTGTAATAATACAAATTTATCGCACAGATATGAGACAATTGTTGGCATCTGCGTTGCCATCCGTAAAACCGACATAGTATTAATTCAAATTAGCCCAACAGCTTTTAGGACTCTTGAGTTCTGATTGCTGTTCAAAACAATGAAAAGATACATGGATTTCCATGTATCTTTCAAAAAGTCTCAGGATATATTTCAAACATTGTTTCTTTCTTTGTAAGATATAAGGTTAATTAGTAAATAGATCGGTATTTTCTATTATTTATTTCGATATCATCAATACTAAAATTGTATAAAAATATTGCATTAGTCTTTTGCAGGCATTAGCCAAATTTACTAACTTTCATATTTAATTTTTTAAATATTCTAAATTTAATACATTTACATAATTCCTAAATTATTAATTAAATTAAAATTATGCCATAACCTGAGATATTTTGAAAAACCTTCAAATTTTGTCGACCTTGTTGTGTTACTCATCCCGTATCTACTGGATTAGCGAATAGTTAGTAATGGGCTGGCGTTGAAAATCGATAAGTCATGTTAAGATTTGCAAAATCTAATTATAACAAAAATAATATTTCATATCATTATCTATTGCATGTGTCTTGCTCACCTGGTGGGCACCTGATATCGTTAGAATTGAATGCAGCCAAGACGCCGCTTAGACAAACCACTGCAACAAGTACTATACACTTCATATTGAGCTGGTCAGAGAACTGTGCGTTTAACAAATAATTTGTCAGTGAAATTATAATCCTCCCAAACAATTCTTTTATACCCGACCTACCTGTACAGATCTTTTATCTTATTTATCAATACTGCACGATTCGCATATTACGATCGATTTACGTCAAAATACAAATACTTCTACCTTGGAATGTAAAATTAGCACGGCACACCGAATTATGTTGTTTATTTTACAAACGAAATTACGGACATGTTCACAATCAGTACTGAGTATTTTACAAGTAATCTGTTGTCGAGGCGTGATTATGTGACAAATTATGGATATTGAAGTCAAAAGAAAAACCATTGTAAATTTCCACAATGGAATAATACAAAAAATCGGAATAGAAAATTCGGTATTTGCTTTTTGTTACATATTGTTACATATAATTTTATAGCGAGTTTTAACAACAAACATTACAATTCTTATGTATATTTTAATAGAATTTTTAAATAATATTTCATTCTGTGCCAAGTTCACAACTTTTCATTGAGGAAATATGCCACTTACGTCTAGTTTATATCTAAGAAGTAAAGAACAATCAAACTTAATTTCTATTCATAATCATTCATATTAGGGGGAAGTTCCGTAACGCCGGACGGCACCAAGTACCGGACATTCTATTTCTTTTTTGGCACTCTATTTAACACGTATTATTTAAGCGAGTATAAATTTCGAAATACAAGTGAAATGGGCATTGGGGGCACGCAGGTACAGGATCACGCGCCAAGCTTCGCCTATGATGCACACGGCCACGGCGAGAGCAACTCTTTCCTGTTTTAGGCGCAAAATACGGCGTCACCTAAATATCAATGAAAGTAATTCTAGTATATTTATGCATTTACATTTGAGAGGTATGCAAAGATAAAAGTTGCAGTTGATTGTTATTCGTAAAATAGTAGAATATCATTAGATCTTTTAACCAATTTTAGTAGGTGCGACCAAATGAACGAAAATGTCTGTCCCTTAGCACCGGACACTAAGTCGTCCTTTAGTGCCGGACAGTAAACATATTGATATTTCTTGTGAGAATTAACGTAATTTATTCCAATTATTTAATTTTATTCTGTATGAGTGCTAACAACCACTACATACCCACATTTTTTGTATTTCAAAAGAAAAGCTTGTCAAAGAATGAAAAGCTTATGAATGCACCAGCTGAGAGCATCGGTGTGGCCCAGCCAAAAGGGTGGATGAATAGTGACTTTTTTGCAATATCTAAGAATATTCGTCAAAGACACATGAGCAGGCATTCCATAGCGTGGAGATGTGGTCAATGCGGGTTATTTTGAGTGGGTGCCACTGTTTAAAATCATATTTTTGATAGATGGTAGTTGATCAATAGTATTCATTATTTTTTAGCAAAGATTGCGGTTTTGTTAATTTAGTTTGATTTTTAACGTTGTTATCTAACATAAATCATAATTTAATAAACATTTCGTGAAATATTTTTTCATTTATTTATAAATAACCTTAGGTGTCCGCCACTTGGGGACTTCCTCCTACCACTTGAAAAATGTATGAATTAATGATTTATCAATTATTTTGTTTTGGGTTGGGAAATTCACTTGACATTTTTATGGTATCATGATAAAAATCATTTTTCAAATAGCCAATTTTCTGCTTTGTCATTTTCTAATTTGACAATTATTTAAAACGCTTTTCTATTGCAATTTTGTATTCATTTATAATTATATTTGGAACTAAAATAGTAATATTATAATTACATTATCATCGAATTTGATATTCTGCATTCTATAGAGCAGATTGCTGCCATACCAATGACTAAAGTTTTAAAAAATCTTTTGTTGTTTTCATTTTTTTGCCAATTTGAAATTAGTATTTGTAAAATTCAAATTAAACGGTTTATATTTTTATTGAAGTATTATAATACTATTCATATTTTTTACAAGAACAATCTGTTATTTCACCACCAAATGTTTTACCGACGTTTTTACCTTGTGTTCGCACTGTTTAATGTGCGCGACACAGTTTGATCGTTTGTATCAGAGTTTTGAATTTTTTTTGGGAAAAAATTCAAAACTCTGATACAAATTCTATATATCAGTTAGTCTAATATAGCTAAAATCATAAGGAAATTCTCCGGTAAAATAGACCGTAACATAGCGATGTTACGGCGCAGCTATGTTACGCTGCTTTCTTGGTACTAAAAACCGTCAAAATGCTATGTATTTGCTGTGCAGTCAGGCGTTGACAAATTTAGTCAACAAAATAAAAATTGGCAATGTCTTCGAAAGATTAAATCATTACAAAAGACAAATTTTCATAAGATTAGATTCTAAATATCTAAACTGTTGTAAAAGAAGAAAAGTAAATTCGAACAAATTTGACTAATAGTCATACTTTTTTTAAAAATTTATTTGCATATGAAGTAAGGTGTAAATAAAATATAAATCATAAAAAATATTATATATTTTGGTAGTTGATTAACAGGAATTACAATATTCTTTTGGGACACATTTACAACGGTTATCTCTTGCATATCCTTCATTACAATAGCATCTATCCACACATTTGATATTTATAATTGGACAGGTTTGGTTAAGTCTTCCGCATTCTTCATCACAATGACTTCCACAAGCGTAGTGTTCATTTCCTCCGTTGCATTTCCCTTGAAGAAAATATTTGCTTTCATATTTTTGTTCATATTTGATTAATATTTTTATTGCATCAGTTTGAAATGCATATGCAAATTGGTAAATTCATTAACATTTTGTGAGAAATATAAGTGAATACTTACATGGGCCACTTGTTGGAGGGCATCTGATCTGGCAATTAACTACAGCAAATGCAATGATTAAAAATAGAAATATTTTCATTTTGGTAATCTTAGAAAATATATTAATACAAATGCAACTGATCGTTGATAAACTGCAAATGTGAAATCACTGTATTTTTATCTTATATATAAGTGTTACCGTGTGCTTACACACGTGTTTTAAAATATAAACAATACACTTCAATGAGTTTAAAAAATTTCTTTATATTATTGAATCAGATGTATTTATTGTCGGTTTTTGATATGTTTGTTAGTAACATTTTTTTACTGTAGAAGTAGATAAAACTTGTTTCTTCCAGAAACTTTCAGCATGCAGGAAACGAAATTGAGAAAGAGCAATAAGAATAGTTACTTTACTTTTCATTTATATATTTTTGAAGTGTTTTATTGTAATATCAGAAATCTTTATATCACCTTTTTTATAACAACAATTATTGTGCGTCATATAGTCTTATTTCTGGATTTTATTTTTACTTTTAATGAAATTGATTACCTTATGAAGATGTTCTTCAATTTCTGTAAGAAATTCAATTCTAATCCAACATTTGCTCGAATCGATGCTCTAATAGTTTTGCGGTGTAATTGATATGTGATGTTATTTTTTAGTTAATATTGCTCTAATATGTCGTCGACACAACATATTTTTAGCTTTTCATTATTTTGAACAATAAAGTGTGGGTCCGGTTGGAATATTTTGTATAAAATATGTAGCATATAACAAAATTGGCACAATAATAAAATAAAATTTATTATTATTGTTATGATCGTATTCATGAATATATAAATACACAGATTAAATAACAAGGCGTAATTCTAATATATGATTAGTAAGCAGAAAGAGTTAATTGAAACAAACAAATTGTGAAGAACATTTTTTAATAAATAATAATTAGGAAAATAAGTACAAATCAGTTAAAATACAATAAATAATAGATTGTCACAATGAATAATTATAAATTTTACAACTGGTAATTATTGCTTGAAATTTTTAACAATTGTCGCATTTATCGAAAGGAACACAATTGCAAAATTCATCTCTTGCATATCCAGGATCGCAATAGCAACGATCTGTGCATTTGATATTTTGAATTGGGCAGTCTTCGCCAATTTTTCCGCATTCTACATCGCAAAAGCTCCCACATCCACACCATTCATGTCCTCCATTACACAACCCTGTAAATAAAAGAAATATGAATTGCTTATTAGACTCTATTTTATATGACTCTATTTTTTATGATTTCCAAAATTATTAATATAAATAAAAACTTACAAATGAATCCATATAAAATTTATTGTTATTGTGTAATTTATTATTCAAACTATATTCAATATATGAGCATTAAAATGGAACTATTGAACTATATTGGCAGCAAAAATCTTTTTAAATCAAATTTTTATAATTTACTTACATGGGGCTGGCGTTGGTGGACATCTGATATCATTTCCTCCATATACGACCGCTATGCACAAAACTAAACAAATAATTGTAATCTTCATAATTAATTATTAGAATGTCTAATGGATGCTTGCATTGATGAGTATACAATGTACTTTCACATTTTCTTTTAATTCCTTATATATGTTCTGATTAGCTTATTTTCATAATAGATAGACGTTTTGCAAACAAAAAATCGTACTCAAACAGTTAAATACACATAAATGTCGAGACAAATAGTCCATTTATTTGTATACTCAATAAATTAAATATGTTTTCCATTTTTAGTTCACTTTTTATACGCAGTTAGTATCGATTAATGATGGAATTCGCATATTTTTTATGTTTAATTAGAATATAAAAAAATTGTTAACAGACAATTTGATATGGTAATTATAGTAATTAATAATAAAATACTGAACTGAAATATTAATATTGAACATACCAGTAATATGCTAGTAATATAAAAATTAATATATTTATAAATTCAATTTATTAACACTATTTCACTTTGTGATTTTTTAAAACTTTTTTTTGTTTTATGCAATATTTTTAATGAGTCATACATTTTTGGTGGTATATAATAATTATAAATATTATAATATTATAATTATAAAGTACAAAATATATAAGAAGTGATCAAATTATGATGATCAAAAAATTAAAATAATAAATTAGAGTAATTTTTAATGTTGAAAGGGTTAGTTGTAATAAAATATCATAAAACATTTTAAAAGATTTTTTTTCTATTTACTGTAGCAATCATTTGTAAATCAATAATTCAAATGAGAATATTAAATACCAAAGGCATCGTAAACGTATATAAACATTTGAAAAATGTTTCATAATTTAAATTATAATATATGTGATGAGCACCACCACTATTTCTAAAACTCCATAGATTAATATTCCAACAGTTTTTCGAAACTAGTATTTTCATCGAGACTTTTTTAACTTCCTGTAGGGCAAGTTATAGTAATCGCAAAAAAATCGAAAATAATTTTTTTTATATATATTTACGTTTCAAAACCTTCTGAACATTTTGGCATACCTTAGAAAAAAATAGATGTATGTGTGTGTGTGTGTGTGCGTGCGTGTATGTATGTGTGCGGATACAAATTTTTGTCGACGATTTCGGGAACACGGATGAAGCGATTTGCATAATTCAGAAAACAATCGATTCGTATTGATAAGGAGACGTGCTGATTAGTTTTTGGCAAAGGCAGGTCTAGCCGTTCCGAAGATATGGGGTAAAAAGTGCCAAAAACGCAAACTCAGTTTTTAAGAGAACGGAACATCCCATTTGAATAATTCAAAAAACATTTTACTTTTATCAATAAGATGAAGAACTGATCAAATTTTCATGGAGGCAGGTCTAGCGGTTTCGGAGATCTAGTGAAAAAGTAAAAGAAAATGCCATCTGGCGGTCAAAAATGATCATTAGACATATGCACATCAAATTATCAGATATTTTATAGACATTTTAACAATAAGTTTTAACAATAAATTTTAACTTAAGTATAAATTTTGTTTACATTTCTATGGGTTCCGTACCAATCCTTATCCGTTAGACGGCTTACGCGCTTCTATATTTCGTCTCAATGCAGTTAAAGCACTACGATTGCTTCGAAAAAAAGTTCAGAATTTCCAAAATATTTCAAAATACACTTTTCTTCAAAAAGTCATTTCTTCAAAAAAAAAGTAATTTTTTGTCAAAAATTTATAGTTTCTCTAAATAATTCTAATCTTCTAATTTTTCAGAGTATTTTTTTTTCAAAAATGTTAATCTTTTAAAAAAAAATTGTACGGGTAGTTCCAGCAATTTACCTTAAGTCACGATGCCATGCGCCCCACTAGTTTGATGAGCACCACCACTATTTCTAAAACCTCATAGATTCTTTAATATTCCAACAGTTTTTCGAAACTAGTGTTTTTATCAAGACTTTTTCATTATGCAGAATTTTGAAACTTGCATTACTAAATGATAATTATTTTATACTTTGAATATACCAGATAGTTATAAAAACAATTGTAAGCGTATTTTTTATTCAATTTTTATTAAGATAACAAATAACAATTCTGTGTAGATTATTAACAAGTTTATGAAATTTTATATTATTTACGAGCTGTCGGTAAAAATGCCATCAGGGAATCCTGCTGGTGGAGTAGTTTCGGCTTGTTCGACTGGTACGGTATTACCGTTTGCGGTAGTTTCACCACCTTGAGCGGGAGCCGCGGTGGTTTCAGCAGCAGAAGCTGCAGTGGTTTCTGCAGCGGAAGCGCTGGTTGTCGTAGCTTCAGCACCTTTAATTGTTATGTTGTTAATACTCGTTAAATAGCTGACGAGGCAGCTCGTGAATAATTAATTTAGTTAAAGTATATCAACTGTTTCAAATTAAAATATTATTATCATTTTATAATTTTATGGCTTACCACATTGATCTTCGGGAATGCACTCATTATTCTCATTTCTGGCGTAGTTGCGTTTGCAGAAGCATTTGCAGTTGTTACCAATATCGATGCAAATATTATTCAAATTGTCACAGCGTTTGTCACAGCCTAACTTGCAGGCGAAACGTTCATTCTCACCACAATCGGCTGTAAGTAGTTTAAATTTTATAACTGGAGTCGATTTACAATTTCAAAATTAATAAAAAAAACTGATGTCATTATTTGGACGTGTCATTATTCGTTTTATTATATTGGTCATGAAGGTGACAACCTTCAGGGCATTAAGCTTTACACGGAATGGTTGCTACCCTTGGTAGAGGGGGTAGCGGAGTGTTTTAATAAAGTCCGCGAAACAGCATGTATAATAAATATATCTTTTTTCTTATAACTTAGTAACAAATCAGTGTTTGTAATTAGAACTGCAACAAATACATAATATACAAACAAATCAGTATTTAACAGTCCACAGCTACAAGGGTTAAATTATAAACCAACAACCTGAATAATCGAAGAAGAGTTTTAATAAATTCTATAACTACGTAACAAAACGACAATCATATTCTACTGACTTATGACTCTTTCATAAGATGGAATTTCAGAATATATTGTACTAAAAAACTAATATAAATATTATAGAGTGAATATTTATATCTCACCCGCAAAAGCAACAGCTACCAAGGCTACCAAAACGACAACTGTCAAGCAACGCATTTTGAATTATAACACAATAACACAAACTGAACTGTGAAATCCGTAAAAAATATGAGTTTATATACCTTCTTAGATATTTTCCAGAAAATATTCTAATCTTCTTCAAATATGTACCTGAATTATGATTATAAGGCTTTTATGATCAAATTATAATTTATTATCAGTTAGAGCTTCTTATTTCGCTTTTAAACGTTATAATTATATTAATTTATTATTTGCATAATAGCAAATATTTTGCAAACATACTTAATAAAACAATATTAAATCAAATCCATTTTTGAGAACTCGTACGTAATTAAATATTTAGTTTCGTTGATAAGAAGCTGTTAATTTTTAATTTGATTATAAAAGATAAGACTTAATTAATTTGAAATCTTAAAGCAACTTTAGTAGAATTATCTGTCATTAGACAAATACTGCAAAAACATGTTTGATATGTTTATATCACTTCAAATTTATTTCAATTTTATTTTTCTATCAAAATATATTGTAGTTGTTCATTAAAAATTTATTTTTCAGTAAGGCTAGTAAAAAAAGTAAAGGCTAAATTGAAGTGCAAGTGCATTTATACTTATTTTTTTACGTAAATATGGTTTACTTTCCATACATTCAAATTATAATTCTTCTTGAACCTGAAACACAGCGTTTCAGGTTCAATATCCATCTCGGTCAACAAGATATCAAGCAGTAGTGACATCGGTTTTTGCTTGAAAATATAGTTTGTAAGCGAAAATATCCCTTGTTCGGCATCAAATTAAAAAAATAGTATTAAAGAAATTCTAACTAGTGGTGTATGGCATCGTGCCTTAAGGCAAATTGCTGGAACTTCCTGTACCGTAACGAAATAATCGAGGAATATTAAATGTTTTCAAATAGGTTTTTATAAATATTGTAACATTAATATTTATAAGAATTATATAAACTGAATTGTAAAGTTAAAATTATTTGTTTAAAGTTTATTAGAAAAGAATTAAAATTAAAATCTGAATTATTTTCGATTTACAAAAAAAAAATTCTTGAAAAAAAAATTTTGGAAAAAAATTAAAAACAAAATTTTTTTTCCAACAGCAATTATTTTGTTAAAACAAGCAGAAAGTTCTTTGAATAATTCAAATCGGACTCTTAGTTCTCTCAAAAACTGACATTTTTTGCACATTTAGCTCTGTATCTTCGAAATAGCTGGACCTGCCTTTGCTAATCACCTCTTCTCCCAATCAGTACAAATTGAATGTTTTTTAGAATGTTCAAATCGGATACTATGTTCTCTCAAGAACTCGATTTCTATTTTCTGCACTCTTTGCTCCGTATCTCCGTAACAGCTGGACCTGCCTTTGCCAACAACTAATCAGCACATCTCCCTGTCAATAGGAATCGAATGTTTTTTGAACCATTCAAATCGGTTGATCCGTGCGCCCGAAAACGTGGACGAAAAAATGTTTACATACAAAACACACACACACATCCATTTTTTCTGAGGTACGCCAAAAAGTTCACAAACCTTCAAAACGTCGGAAAATGCAAAAAAAAATATTTTCAATTTTCGGCCTATTACTATAACTACCCTACGGGATAGTAAGTGGTTAAGTGGTTAAAAATAAAAATATGTCAAATATAGATAAGTCAAGCGTTGAGTTTTCTTCTAAAAAAGCAAAGTTGTTGGGGAGAAGGTTTATCACGTTAGCTATGAAAGATATATTTATATATTGCATATTAAAAGGTTGAAGAATGATTTTAAATACAAGACCTGTATGTAAACTTTTATTATCCAAATATTCGAATGATCACAATTCAATTTTATCCAATGTTCTTGTATACGTAACTGGATACGTCTAATTATTATTATAAACAATAACACATCTCAAAATAGTGAAAGATTTTATTCAAATACAAAAAATAAATACAAAACCTAATAATGATTAAATAATATATTTATTATTATTATTTGGCAAAATTAAAATAATATGTACAACTACAAACTAATTCTTTGAACTGCAAATGCTTCTACTTTTTCAAATTAACTACTTTCAAAACAATTTTTCTTTCCCATTTATCTGCCCATACCAAAAATGCATTTTAGTAAGTGCACACATTGACCGTTAGCGTTTCTTACAAAACCAAATCTGCAGTAACATTGGCATTTGTTGACGCCGTTAAAACAGAAAGAACCAAAAGAGTCGCAACGGCCGTCGCAAGTCATTCGGCAGCCATATTCTTCGTTCATTCCGGTGCAAAGAGGTTGATCGGGCATCTGCTGCTGAGGCAGCTGGGGTTGCTGTTGCTGAGGTAGTTGCTGCTGAGGTAGCTGTTGTTGCTGCTGCTGAGGAAGCTGTTGCTGCGGTAATTGAGGTTGCAACTGTTGTTGAGGCAATTGGGGTTGCAACTGTTGCTGCGGAATTTGAGGCTGCAGTTGCTGTTGAGGTAACTGAGGCTGAAGTTGTTGTTGCGGTAATTGTGGTTGGAGTTCTGAAATAACAAGCGTCTTAAATATGATTGTTCACAAACTTATCAAAAATATTTTAACACATCGTATTGTTTTCAATTTTCAATTACATTTATAATAAACATTATGAACATATTTACATCAACTAAAGATTATATCAACTTAATTGTACCGCACACGTAACTCAAAGCATAAATACTATCATGAAATGGTAGAAGTGCAAATATGTTTTTAAATATTAGTCAATAAAAATGTTATTGCTGGATGCATGTAAGTAAATAGTCAGTAATCGTATTTTCATTCGTAAACTTTTTCAACGTAAAGTTGATTTTTTTTTTCAATAAAAAGATCTTGCATCACTTTATTGTTACTTTGTATGTGTTCAATACGTCAAAAAATCTTAAATTTAGATATCAGCTTCAATAACAAACCAATCATAGTCATATCTTCGATATGACTCTATCATGTTATTGGTAAATACTAAATATAAATATGTCGAGGTCAATTCTTCGATAAAATATACCGTAACATAGCGTTTTATGTCAAAGCTATTTTACGTTCTTTCTTCATATAAATTGAGAGCAAAAACCGTCCAAATGCTATGTATTTTATCAAAAGTTCAAAACACCAAGTCAAATAGCATGTACAACTGCATTTTGTTGCCGAGTTTTTAAAATATGTTATAATATATTCATATATTTTATAGCATAGAGCTTTATTGATTATTAGAATCCCAAGTGGTTCATTTTGAATGTTTATTTACTCCTATTTCAAAGCTGTTTAGTTCCTTAAAGCAAGTATTTTCACATTTTTTCAATTTATAAACTTTTAATTAATGCTATAAGTATAACCATCATATATTTGTATATATTGTTTTTATATACAGTATTTTTGTAAAATATTTATTTCAAAAATTTCAATTTAAAACGATTCAAAACGTACGTGCAAATATAGCCCCCACAAAACACACAAAAATAATTATTTGAAGATGCATATTCCTGCTTTGTTACACCGAACTTTTAAAAGATTATGTAATGACTAAAAAAATTATTGCATTGCGAGTATTTATATATAAGGCATGGGAACATAATTAAAAATGCAAATTTGTGAATGAGGCGTATGTTTTCCTCGTACTTTCGGAAGCTCATCACGTTTTAAAAGCAATTGTTCAAATATCGCGGCTCGATATGTATCATTTCATTTGTAAATAGTACGCATTCCTTTCAAATTTTATATTGTATACCAAAATTAAATATGCTTAACTCACTCACAAAATTCTGTTTCGTTTTAAATTATCTGAGAAGCGTAATAAAAGCGGGTACTTACCTGATGTGATTACGAAATTTTTATTTAATTATACGCATTAATAATTGTATATTTACATATGAATGATAATACTTTTTGGTTAATTATATGGTATTTATCAAATTGATGTATTGTATTGTTTGTCTATAGTTTTGGGCATTTAGAGTATAAGACAAGAAATAAAATATGCAATAACTATTCCACAAAATATTCTATATTTTGAAAATTATTTGGAAAATTGGACAATTTTTTTAGAATGTTTTGTAAACTACATATTGGACAAATTTTAAAATTGCAGGACTTTAAAAATTGTTATTTAAAATACCATATTACACTTCCGAATATAATACATATTTTTATTAATATTATTCATAAATAAATTTAGTTCAATGAAAATGTAGAGCACATGTTTAAATGTTGATTTTGTACTCTGCGTACATATAATGAATCAACGTTTGATTTAATCTATATTAACATATAAAACGCCTATATATTTTATTTTTCCCATAAACACAAATATTTTTAATGACATTCTAATACTCTACAATAAAATATAAAATATGTAAAACGAGTTTGCTATAATAATTAATCATCACATATACAAAACATAAATCAACTACTAGTAACTAAAATGCTAATTAAATAGTTGGGTTTTCATTCTATGGTGCTTCTACATATTTCTTGATGACGTGGGTTTGTAATATTAGGCAAAATTTAATTTTGTACTGGTTGAATTACATTAGAAGAATATAATTAATATATAATAAAAAATATATTAAAATACGTTTAACATATAGTCGTCAATATAATATGCTAGAATTTAAATATATAGCAATGACAATGTGACAGACTAAATTAATTCTGAACTTTTTTCAGAATTTTGGTTATTTCCTTAATCCAGAATATTTTTTTGCTAAGTCCATCCATTCAAGAATACGATTAGAACGATACATTTTCCGTGAAGATTACATATATGAATTTTAAAATGACTTCACAAAATTTACTCGTTTTTATTGTAAATTTTACAT